GACCCAGAGTTGGTCACCTACAAGACGGGCCCCTTACCCCCTGTCCTGTCTCCCTCGGCACACTGTTAGCTGACTTGCTCCTTTTGTGCAATCTTTGTGGCTGTGCCTGGCCTCCCAGGCGGTAGAAACCTTGGGACTGTACTTGGTACATGCATGTGGTACCAGGAATAGAACTTGTCATCACACTTGCAAGACAGATACTTTTTTAAAAAATTTTTTTTTTTTTTGGTGGGGACCAACCCCACTGATGCTTGGGTAGAGGAACTACTGGTTTCGTTTTGGGATTCAGGGAGGGTTAAAAGGGTCTCTGCAGTGCCCAGGAGGAGACTGGGGTATAAGGGATCAAACCTAAGGCTTCAGTCTGCAAAGCATGTACTCCAGCCCTTTGAGTTACCTCCTCCTCAGAGGTCTTTTGCCTCCTGGATAAAAGTATTTGATTTTTCACACCAGCCTAGGAAGGTTTAATGCCCTGGCGCTGGTCACGGCTCCCAGGTAGAGGAGTTGGGACTCAAATCAGGCAGGCTGAGAACCTTCTGGCTCAGGCAGAGATTCGATTCTGGATTTCAGCCCTTGCTTCTCTGAATCTTCCTTTTCCCGTCTCTCTTATAAAGCATCGACTCAGCCAGTGCCCAACAGAGTATCCCTGGCATGCCAGCTCTGTATAACCCATGGCTGCGCTACAGGTTATTGGGCTCTTAACTAAGATTTTGCTTGAAGAAGAGGGGGATGTGGGGGGAAGGTTGGCTCCCAAAGCTGTTAAACTAGGGCGATCTATAAAACCCTTGCAAGTCTCAGAGTCCTGATATCCAAAGGCAATGATGGGGCCACGTTGTCTCCATCCTCCTTCACCAAGTCTTCCTGCCCAGACACCCTGCTATAATTCTAATCAGTCTAAATCAGAATCTGATGAGACCCATGGCTCAAGGACAGAGAAGACACTCTGCATTCATAGCAGTGGTCACTTCTCCAACATCCATCAATCCCTGTCAAGTGAACAAGTCCCCTGGAGCCAGAGAGATAGTTGAGCATGTGGCTAGCCAGGGTTGGATCCCCAACGTTGTCTCATACAATCCCCAGAGCCCACTGGGAGTGATTTCTAAGAGTTGAGCCAGGAGCATTTCTTGAGCGTCACAGGGTGTGGTCCCCAAACAAACTAATCAAATGCTGCACAAGCCTTTCTTTTTTTTTTTTTTTTTTTTTGCTTTTTGGGTCACACCTGGCGATGCTCGGGGGTTACTCCTGGCTCATGCACTCAGGAATTACTCCCGGCGGTGCTCAGGGGACCATATGGGATGCTGGGACTCGAACCTGGGTCAGCCATGTTGGCTGCGTGCTAGGCAAACGCCCTACCCGCTGTGCTATCGCTCCAGCCCCCGCACAAGCCTTTCTTAAGTTTCCAGATTAGTTGAAGGAATGTAAGCTTTTATGTAGGAAGAGCCCAGGTGTTTTTTTGTTGGTTTTGTTTGTTTGTTTGTTTGGGTTTTTTTTTTTTTTTTTTTGCTTTTTGTGTCACACTCGGCAATGCACAGGGATTAGTCCTGGCTCTGCACTCAGGAGTTACTCCTGGCAGTGCTCAGGGGACCATATGGGATGCTGGGAATTGAACCCGGGTCGGCCGCATGCAAGGCAAACGCCCTACCCGCTGTGCTATCTCTCCAGCCCCAAGAGCCCAGGTTTGATCCAAAGCACCACGTGGTTTCCTGGTAGTGATCCTTGAGCACAGAACTGGAAGTAACCCCTGAGTACTGCTCAGTGGCTCCCCAAACAGTTAACTACATAAGTAGAGCTTGATTTTGCTAAATGTGCTTCCTTTGGAAGCCTTATGTCTTCTGATTGGTGGGGCAAATGTTTCAGTTTTCATCTCTCATACTCTGTTTTCTCTTTTGATTTGGTTTGGGATCCATACCCAATAATGTTCAGGGGCTTATTTCTGGCTCTTCACTTAATGATCACTCCCTGTGGGACTCCAGGAACCTTACATGGTATCAGGAATTCAAAATGGGGCCAGCTACATGCAAGGCAAGTAACTCAACCCCTGTATTATCTCTCCATCCCTTTTTCATGCTCTTTGAAGCCACGGATTCTTCCTTAAGTTGATGCACTGGGGGGAAATTTGCCAGCACGGGCATGTAGGCAGGAATTGTCCTGTTCTTCCATCTGCGCATGGCAGACCTAAGGGCAGCCATAAGATTGACTTGGGTCTCTAGAGAAATACTCCTAAAGATTTTCTGGTCACTTGAGTCTGCCGCCCCTGACCCTAAGGCATATTAGGTGTGATGCCAAGTCTCCTGCCATGGAACTGGGAAATGAAGGTGGTGGTTTAGTGCTCTGTGATGTCAAGCCCTGTACAAGCTCCCTTGCTTAAAGCCTGGTGCTGATGATTTACACAGCTCAGCAAGCACAGTGGCAGCAAGCAAAGGCCAAAACCATCCCTCCCCCCAGCCCAACAGGCGCCTGCCAGACACGCTTTCGAAGGCTTCCCCCATCATTAGGCCAGATGTAAATTAATGCCCAGACTTGCCAGTGGGCAAAGGACAATTCCATTATTCCATGTCTTTTATCTCACAGAAACTGCTTTTGTCTTTTCGATTATAGAACCCTATGATTGGGAGAGTTTTGCATTTATGAGTTTATGTTTAATGTTTTCCTTTTAAAAGCATGAATGGAAGGGCTGGAGAGATAGTTGCAGGGGTTCACACACTTGTTTTGCACACAGCTGACCCCAGTTCGATCCCTGGCACCACATACATACAGCCTTCCCCTAGTACCTCCGAAAGCGAACCCTAAAAAATGGAGGCAGGAGAAAGCTCTTACTACAGCCAGGTGTGGCCCAAACATTCCCTCTACCCCTCAACCATGAATTGAATGCTGGGAATATTGCTCAAGGGATCAAGCGCAGGCATTGTAGGTAAAATAAAATTGCAGTAAGTGTAAAGTAAAAAAAGAAAAAAAAAGGTAAAAATAAAATAGAAAATGAATCCAAAACCAATATGAGCATGAAACAAGATTTTCTGAGCCTGTGGATAGCTGTGCAGCTTCACTGTTCTCGAATGACTTGTATCTAGTGATTTATGCTCTCAGTGCCTTGATTTTTATATCTGTGAAATGGCAGTATTAAAGTTCATTCCCCAGAGGGTCATGGAGTGAAATGGGGCCTAGTCCTGGGTCTTGCATACCAGCTCTGTAAGCTGGGGGTAGTATTGAGCCTAGTGCATATGGTTGATTCAGCAGTAGATGAATAAATTATGAACAAGTTCATATATTAGGGCTTGGCATATACAGTAAGCATTGTTTAAAGGTCTTGCAACATATAAATCCTTAGAATAGCAGCTGGCATTTTTGCTTTACTTCTACTAAAACTAAATAAATATTAATTCTAGTCCAGGCAGTTTCGAACAAAGAAATATTACCTTTGTAATTATTCTAGTATAATTGAATTGGGTTTTTAACATTGTGCCACAGTTACAGACATCTCAAGTCTAGGACTCTAAGTTCTCCCAACTACCTGTCTGGGTTATTCTTCATGGAAGAAGAGGAAATTGGAGGTCTGAGACTTGAAAGAATATTGGTGTCAGCATTAGTATATCCTTAAAGTCCTGGAGTCCCTCAGGAACCCCTGAATTTGGTGATATAAATCATCTAAGGCAAGCGACTAACACTATAATAAATAGCCTGACATCTCTAAAAGTAATGAGAAAGGAGTCTTAGTCGGTTGTAGACCTTCGGAGACACATGTTGAGATGAGAACTTTGCCAGAGGTATGCTGGGCCTGATGTCACCAAGGAAATTAGAGCATGATACCCTAATCTCTGTTGCGCACTTCCTTCCTGCCTCAGGACCTTGCCACATGCTCTTTCCGTGGCCTGCAATGTTCATTCTTTCTCCCTGCCCTTGATATTCATCTTACCATCTTGAGCTCCTTCCTTAGATGAGCTCAAGTTATGCAAACGTTGGCCTCAGGTGCCTGGTTTCATATTCCTTCCAACTTTGCTACTTGGGTGCTGAACTCAAGCAGATGGTCCCCACTTCTGAACCTTGTTTTTTCCCCTAGAATCATGATCCCCCTAGAACCATGATATCATTGTTGGGCCCCTGGGTTTAAATGTCATTTCTTTCACCATAGGGGAGATTTCTCCAGTTGTGTAAGCAGAAGCAGCTACAGTAGCTATTTTCGCAGGTTCAGAAGTGTACCCTGATTAGCTTTCACTTTGACTTGGTGGCCTTGAATGAAGCCATTAATGAAATGTAGATTAGCACAGCGGGTAGGGCGTCTGCCTTGCACGCAGCCAACATGGCCGACCCGAGTTCGATTCCTCCACCCCTCTCGGAGAGCCCAGCAAGCTACCGAGAGTATTCGATATGCCAGACACAGTAACAACAAAGTCTCCAATGGAGACGTTACTGGGCCCGCTCGAGCAAATCGATGATCAACGGGAGGGCCTTTACTTTACTTTACTTTAATGAAATGTATGATGAAAATATGAAATTGAAGTCGTACTTTACTCTTTGTTTTGCTGCTCATTCCTCCTGTGATACTCCCCAAAGCTTGTTAGACTGATGGTGAATTCCTAAATGCTAGAGAAGGGCTCTACACTGAAACGAAACTGGGGAGGAGCAAGTGAACCAAGGTCAAGTCCCGTTCCTTTTTTGCAGACGTCTCTGCAACTTGTCTATGCTAGTGTGTTTTCTCTTCCTTGAGAGTGCAGGGGCGGCGGGGTGTGGAGGGGCTGCAGGAGGGACGACAGTGCACCCCAGCGTTGGCTGTCATCGAGCCTGTTTCTCATGAACTTCAGAGCGGTCCTGGGCCATTCCCAAGTCACGGCATACCCTGAGAAGCGCTGCTTTGTTTTCTGTGGCTCCCACCGCCAAATGCTAGCGTTTCTCAGGATGTAAACAAACAGAAGGCTTGTGATGTGGCACCCGCAAGAGAAGGTTTTGGCTGTGTGTCTGCAGCACAGTATGACTTATTGTGCCTTTCTTTTGCTTCTTCCCCCATACAGAGAAAGAAACCTTTCTGGATCCTTTTGTCCTCCGGGAGCTCCTGCCTGCCTCCCTGGGCAGCTACTACCGCTACACAGGGTCTTTGACCACCCCACCCTGCAGCGAAATTGTGGAATGGATAGTCTTCCGGAAGCCTGTTCCCATCTCTTATCACCAGGTAGGTATGCAGCCCCCAAGGTGGCTTTGGGTTTATGTGTCTTGTGTTGACTTTATCTAATGTTGCACAAATGCACCCATAGGGTTTTTCTTTTATCCTCTGTTTCTCCTTATTTCCTTCATTCTTTCCAACGTGCAAATGTTGCTTCAAACCCAAGAGTTATGAAATTTAAAACTTGGTTGCTCAGCAGAAAATTAACTAGCCAGACTGAGTGGTTATAGCAGGCATATAACTCGATACTGTAGAAGTGTTCATTTGGCAAGAAGATAATAGTTTTCCTAAAGATAATCTCTTACGCCAGGAGTTCTTCTAAACCGCATTATATCCATATAACCTCAGGAAAAACTATCTCCAGAGGTAGATGTCATTTGTTATCCAGATTTTATAGAGGATACAGACCAAAATGAAGTAATTTCAAGTGTCACTCAGGTTGACAGAAATGGTTACCACACCATAGTGTATGACCTCAAAGGTCATGTTTTGAGCCATCAAAACTACCTAATGTTCAGGGGAGAAAAAGATACTTGTATATGTGAAGAAGAAATAAATATATCAATTTAACTCTTTCCATGTGCCAAACTCATTGCTAAGAACATTAATCAATAGTGGCAAAGGAACACTTATCTGATGGAACTCGAGCAAGGCATTTGCCTTGCATGTGGCCAACCCAAGTTCGATTTCCAACATCCCATATGGTCCTCCGAGCACTACCAGGAGTAATTCCTGAGTGCATGAGCCAGGAGTAACCCATGTGCAACAAAAAAAGAAAAAAGAAAGAAAAGAAAACTTATCTGATACGCCACAAGGACATCATGGCATGCAGAGCTCAGATAACATCCCAAGAATATGTGGAAATGAAAGTTGAAGCCAGAGCCAATTCAGGCTTCATCTGATTTCAGACCTCATGTTGTTGATCACCCCATGTATACTATACCGGTTCTCTCTGAATATTGCCCAGGCAGATTTCACAGAAAGGTGAATTTAAACTGAGGAGTTGACTCTAGGTGAGAATTGGTGAGATGGGTTTGATGACAATGTCAGAGGAAGAGGAATGTTGGAGCGGTAGGGGGTGGGGATTAGGCAGGATAAGAGGCCCTGGAATCACCTCAGAGGAATCGTAATTACAAAATAGGAGAAATTTCAGAGGGGATTTGTTTCTATCAGAGATGCAGCCTCTCAGTGAGGTAGCACAAGAGTACATTTCTTCTCCCCAACTCAAGAAAATAGATCCAGGAATAATGAACAGAATTTATAAGAAAGCAGATTTGAACTCTTAACCAGCAATTTCTAAAGACGGAAGATTCGGGGCATGCAGAGTTTGACAGCTGGGAACGGGGTGTTATGGAGGGCAAGGGAGATTTTAGAATTACATGATAATATCAGTATGTAAAAAACATGTATGATAAGGTATTTGAAGCTAGCTGGCATTGGTGAGTTAGCTGGAGATTTTCCCTAACGTGGGCAGAGAATACAGAATAGATAGTGAGGGAAATAGAATTGGGTTGTGTCCTTGTCAGGTCTGTTTTTAATGTAGGCAAGAGAAGCCCTCTTAAAATTTCTCAAGAAAGGGAGTACTTTAAGGATATAATACTGGGCGAACCTGCTGAGATGAAACCATAACTGTGGCTACAACTCGAAAGTGAGATGCATGATTTACTCTGTCCAGGAGTCTTCTGGGCTAATCTTTCTGCTACAACTCAGAGATGCCATACTTGTACAAAACTCTGGTCTCCTTTCTTCCATTTTCATTGTTTTTGTTGTTACTGTTATTGCTCTGGGTGCATGTCCCACTGACTGTGTTTAATACCTTGGTACCCGCTGGCTTATCCAAGGACTAGTACATAGCATAAGTTTTCCTTGTACTCCAAGGACCAGCTACCAGCTGATAATAATCTGGGATTTATGTCAGAAATTTAAGAAGAAAGATCTGAGCATACATTGACCAATGAATAAATAACCAGGACTGGCTTGAAGAGCTAGTACAGGGGTTCAAGCTCTTCCTTTGCAGATGGCACACCCCTGTTGGATTCCCAACACACTGTGTATGGTACCCAAAGTACAACCAGGAGTCACTCCGGCATACAGAGCCGGGAAAAGCACCTGAGTACTGCCAGGTATAGCTCCAAACCCATAAACAAAAATAAATGACCAGAGTTGACCCTGGATCATGTATCCACCCTTGAATAAATCTGTAGACATGCTGGATAGCAGCCTGAGACATTCCATTTTTCCCCTCCGAGGGGTAAATAAACCAGGTTGAGTAGGAGATTTTTGCGGGAGAACATCCTTTGCCCCTCTTACCAAGTTAGATGTGTGGGGCCAGGCTAAATAGATTTATCTGGCCTCTCTGCTGTTGGCAGACATTTTACTTTGAGATTTGTTTCCTTTTCATTCCACTCTGATGAACAAAGACAGGCTAGCAGTTTGGTTTCTGCACAGGATCTTCCAGAATTAAGGAGATAATAAAATATGAAACAACTTTTCTTCCTAATGGTGAAGTCAGCATTGTTTTATTAAACTAAAATAAAATTAAGAGTCCAAATATTTATATCCTCGGGGCTGGTTGCAGCAGGGGCCTTTGAAAAGGGATCCTTTTTTGTCAATTGAGATAAATGTTTTTTGTCTTCAAAGTTATAAAGACTTATGGTAATGAGATTAAGATTAAGAAATTCACATTTTGCCACTTTTTTTGCTAGGTGGAAGGGGTAGGATGCCCTGTGAAGGAGAAAGAGAAAAGAAGAAAGGAATGGCAGTTATCTGGTGGGGGACAAACAGAGACCCTCAACACATACCGGGATTTACTGAAACTTCAGCTATTTTGCAGGTCCAAGGGGAAAGGCAGTTTGTCAAGCATTTGTCCATTAGAAGCACTTGGACATTTGGTAACTGGGACTTTTAGAAAATGTTTTGTTCCCATCTGTTTGTTCTTCTACTTTCTGCCCCACCCCCACCCCCCATCTACTCAGAGAAAAGCAGTAATGAGAGAATTTCTCTCTCTGCCTTTTAATATATAACTTCTCCGTGGGTATTAGTGTTTCAAGGAAATAGTGAAGAAATAGAAGGACACGATTGCTTTCTCAGTTTCTTTATAATAAACCATCTTCAGATTATATTTGACTTTTCTCAGGCACTGCTTCAGAGATCTCTGTCTCCCTCCCCAGGGAGGAAAACAGCTCATTATCATGTGGCCAAACTGGATCCTTAACTGGCGAGTTCCTTGGAGGTCAAAGCTGTGGCAGCCCTCAGAGAGGAAAGCATTAGCCATTCAAGTATTATCACTGCAGACCTCCCCACCCCGACCCTGCCAACATTCTTTCTGAAGTTAGCACAGAATGTTCATTTCACACAGGCCAAGAGCCAGTTCGGAAAAGCCAAGGAGACAGAATTCCATGTCTGCTTCCATCAGAAAGGAAACATAACCAGACCTTCCTTCTTTTCTTTCTCCTTTCTTCTCACTTATCCAGTGGTGGGTGTCTCCAAATAATAAAAAAAATGAGGATTTTTTTCAACATAAAATATAGTGCTTAGCTCACATTCTGAGCTTGCATGATGTGGATTTTTTTTTTTTTTGCAGCTTTCCAGAAAAAATATGAGCAACCATTTTTTTTTCTGTTTTACTTTGTGAGTTTCCTTGGACATTCAAACCAGCCCTGTAGACAGTTGAAATTTGTCTTTGGCTTGTAGGACAACGTAGATCTAAATATGGTGGTGTTCATGGAATCCCATGCTGGAATACAGTTGGCCTGCAGTTAACATGGTTTATGTGACCCCACTAACCATCTACTGTAAGGATCAGGCATGGTGCCAGTACTTTGTCACCCAGACAGAATGGTAGTGCTCTTGGTTTTGTGCACAAGATCAAAGGAGCAGAACTAGCATATTGAGATAGATGGAGAACATGATCTCACTTGCAGAAATGATCATTTTGAGCCCGGTATTAAGGAGTGTTTCATACTATATTACCCAGTTCTCAAATGATGATGGTGCTTGGGCTTTGGCAGTTCTCCTAGACCTGCCTTTCCAGATCCATTGGCTTCCTATAGTTTAAATATGGCATTAGCTATATTTTTGCCTAGCATGAATTTTATTTAACTGCTTCTTGGGGGATCTCCCAGAAGAGCAGTAAATAATTCTGAATAGATCTAGTTTGTTTCTTTCAGATATTTCATTTATTTTTCCTCCTAACAATAAACTTGAATAGTTAAGGAAAGTTTTATTGCCCTGCTTTTATTTTACTTATTTATTGTAACCAAGCTTCCTGTCTCTGTCATAAAAAGTGGAACAGCTCTTTTGAATTAAGACTGTGTTCCTGGGGCCAGAGTGCTAAAACAGCAGGCAAGGTGTTTGCCTTGCACACTGCCCACTGGGGTTGGATCCCAGAGCCTGCCAGATGCAATCCTGAAGCATGGAGCCAGGAGTAAGCTCAGAGAACCATCGGGTGAGAGTGACCCTGTTTGGAACAAATGAAAAGATTGTGTTCCATTTGGAGGCAAACTTTATGGGCGGTTCTATTCAAAAGTCAAATTCTTTAACTAGTGACACTTTTGTTTTTAATCTCTAAACGGTGATGGCAATAATACTTATCTCCTGGAGTCACTCAAGAGTAAATGATGGGATGTGTGAAGAACACTTTAACAAGAGTTTGGCACCGTTTAGTAGATATCGAGGACATGTTTTGTTACTTGTATTAAATGGTCCTAAGTGTCTAGGGTAGCACTGTCTAGAAATAAAACACAAGCCAAAGACATCATTTAATGTTTTCCACATTAAAAGAGAAAAATATCAAACGTAAATATTCTTTGCAGTGTATTTAACCAAGCATATTCCAAATGATTAGCGTTTCAAGCTGTAGGGCTGGCCACATTTCTGCTGGAACAGTCACATATGGTTGCTGGCTACTGCAGCTCTAATATTTATCTCAAGGCTAAAACAACTAATGAATCACTTAATTCCAAAAGTTTCTCTTCTGATACTACAGAATGTGTCTTCTAAGTGGTGGG